AACATCAATACTAAAAAACATGTATTTTATTTTCCCCCTGATTCCACAAAAAGTTCTGTAAATGTAATTGTATTCAGAACAGAACAAGAATGAAAAATAAGTAGTTATAAAATTATATATTAAACTATAAAATAAAACACAAATTAGGTTATAGTAGCATTCATTATAAACAGCATACATATGTCAAGCAAAACTGAAACGGCATTGGGCTCGAGCCTGTCTCATACCACAAGAATCCAAATGTTTCCATTTTTGCTATATTTGTAACATTTGTTTGCATAACTATTATTCTAATGTAGCCTAAACATGGCTTTATACTTCACTCATGTTCTAATATACGTGTAAAATCCTTCACATGCGCAAAAATGTTTGTTTCGGCGCTGCACGCTGATTTTACAGCGGACCTTTTAAAATAAACAGTGTTACTTTTATGTTTGGTTGACTGCATTTTAGTTTGATGATGAATGGCTGAAATGTCAGGCAACGTTAGAACTAATGTTGTTTGTGTGTGCGTGAGGCGCCTGTGTGATCAGATGGATTTAATCAAATAAAGATGTAAAGAAAAGAAATAAAATGCATTAAGAGTGTCACAAAAACGAGCGTAGCTTATACTTGTTGCACAGTGGGGGTTTTTTCCCTTTTGTTAATCTGTTAATTATATTATAGCCTGTTATATATTTTGTGTGATCCTATTTATTTTATTCCTTTTATAGACTTAATTTATGTTTTCCTCCTTTCACAGAAGTGCTGCAGGTACATGATGCGACGATCGAATCCTCGCGGTCTTGTTTACGCTGCTATTCGCGCATATAAAGCTAAAGCCCTGTATAAAAATTTAAAAAAGACATTGTAATCTTACTGGTTAACGATCGACTAATGAGCTTCGTTTGATGGTCGGGAAAATAAAAATGAACAAAATGCTGTCATTCTACAATTCTCTACCGTATTTATGCTGCGCGCAAGTTCAGGTAACTCAAAAACTTGCGTACACGAGCTGAGACCAGACGTGAGATTTGATCGTACACTCTATGTGTGGCGGGGCTTCCCCCGTGGGATATATATATATATTTCACATTTAACTAACTTTGTGTTTAGTCGATTTTCGCGTTGGTCTGAATGAAAATGCAAATTCATTCTTTGCCACTAGGTGTCGCTTTTGGAGTGGTAAAAATAGCTGTTTCCCCGGTAACGGCTGTAAACAAAGCAGCACTGCGCTCACAAACGCTGCTTCATGAAATGGTAATGAAATCGACCAATCGGACCAATCACCGCAGATTTGGTTTGGAAAAATTAATCGTTGAGCGAATCGTTTGGGAGTTGTTGAGCAAGTATGGTAATGCATTATAAACGCATTTATATAAATGCATATTATAAGTCAATGAAAGTGCTTTTTGACCTTGCATGTATGTCAACCTGTTGTTGGGGACTCCCAGAACCAAAATATGAACCTTTCATAACCCATAATAGGGGCACTTTAATGCAGTGTGTTACATGCTGTTTCTTTGTAATTAATTGTGAAACTAACTAGCAATTTCTGAGTGAAAACTGTTTGCACACCAAATTCTTCCAGTATAGTGGGGGCCCCCACCTCCTGGTTGAGAACCACTGATATATATGGTCTATGTGAGTGGTTCCCAACCCAGGGGTCGCCAAGCTCACTCTAGTTTGAGGAATATGAATAGGGATGAAACGGTTACAGTTGGACCATAAACCATGATGAAATTCTCAATGGTTAGTACAGCTGTTTAATATTTTGATTTATCATTAAAACTGTATTTGATTACCGAGATTTGAAAACTAACGTAAATACTGTCCAGCGTGAAGCAAATTTAGTTACAGTCTCATGCAGGCACAGCATGCAGCATTGGTTTCGTTTTGTGTGAAAACATGGCGGAAGGCAGTGAAAGGTTTTACAGAGGGAAATATATGAATTAAAATATGAATGCACCTCTGAATTGAACCATCTGTCTTCAGAAACATTTCTGTTTATAAGCGCAGCTGTGTTTTGTTTACGGGAAACAGCTCTATTTCTGCTGTTCCATAAGCACCACCTGCTGTCTGACAGTCGATATACATCTTCATTCAGCCGATCTGGTGTTTTTGTTCAAACCAATGCAAATATCAGACCGAAATTTTTTGCACTGTTATACATTTTAATCGGTTGGTTGATGAAAAGCTAATGTGCACTCTAAAAATCTAACCAATTTGTATCTAAGGTATCTAGAATCATTAACAGAGCCGATAAAATGCTTATAATCATTCATCATTTTGACTCATATCTCTTTTCTTAAAAGTGGTTTTAAGTCTGAAATGTGAAGTATCATTTTAAAACTTTGTTAGTACATGCTAGTAGATAACATGTCATGTTGTAGTCACCCGACAACAGGGGCGCGGGAAGATGTTTTCGGTTGGGGGTGCTGAGTGTGTCCGTGTTGGGTGAAAGGGAGGCGGGGGGTCACCTCATTTGACAACTCCACAAAGCACTACAAGTGCGTTGATATGAACACTCGTTTAAGTGGCATACACACTGGGAAATTTGACTGCATATCACATTTTTGAAATTATCGATAGTAGCTGATAAATCTCGGGGGTTGGGCTGGGTCCGCTAGGCTTACTTTTCTCCGTGCTCGTGCTGGAGCTGGTTCACTTATGTCGGTGCTCGTGCTGGGGCTGGTGTTTGATGCCTATTTTGGAAAGTTTTTGCTGGGATGGGCATTTAAAAAAATCTGAAATTCGCTTTTGCGCCATTATCTCCTTGTATTAAAGTTAATCTTGTTCGCATTCTGTACAGTTCATGTCTGATACCACGCCAGCGTCACGTGTTCATGAGGATTAGGCTAATCATCCCATGAAAACATCACAAGTAAAATTAATCATGTTTATAAAGATGAATCTAGAATCATTAACAGAGCCGATAAAATGCTTATAATCATTCATCATTTTGACTCATATCTCTTTTCTTAAAAGTGGTTTTAAGTCTGAAATGTGAAGTATCATTTTAAAACTTTGTTAGTACATGCTAGTAGATAACATGTCATGTTGTAGTCACCCGACAACAGGGGCGCGGGAAGATGTTTTCGGTTGGGGGTGCTGTGTGTGTCCGTGTTGGGTGAAAGGGAGGCGGGGGGTCACCTCATTTGACAACTCCACAAAGCACTACAAGTGCGTTGATATGAACACTCGTTTAAGTGGCATACACACTGGGAAATTTGACTGCATATCACATTTTTGAAATTATCGATAGTAGCTGATAAATCTCGGGGGTTGGGCTGGGTCCGCTAGGCTTACTTGTCTCCGTGCTCGTGCTGGAGCTGGTTCACTTACGTCGGTGCTCGTGCTGGGGCTGGTGTTGGATGCCTATTTTGGAAAGTTTTTGCTGGGATGGGCATTTAAAAAAATCTGAAATTCGCTTTTGCGCCATTATCTCCTTGTATTAAAGTTAATCTTGTTCGCATTCTGTACAGTTCATGTCTGATACCACGCCAGCGTCACGTGTTCATGAGGATTAGGCTAATCATCCCATGAAAACATCACAAGTAAAATTAATCATGTTTATAAAGATAAACATGGGTTTGTTATAGCCCACTTACAATTTACATTTCAGAGATCATTACAAATAAATTATTAAATGCTAAAACTGAATAAATTTAAATGAACAAACTTGCCGTTGCATCTGCAACCATGTGAAAACAGGGGGTGCTGCAGCCCCCTCAGCACCCCTACTTCCCGCGTCCCTGCCCGACAAACATTTTTTTGTTCATGTAAAATCTGGCCATTGTTGTTAATGTAATGTAATTCATGTTTCTACTGTTGTTGAATTTATTACAAACTTAACAACTGGTTTTTTGTTTTTTTTTTAAATGGGGGTCTTAAAAAAAAAAAGAAGAATGTTAAAATAGGGGTCCCCTGGATTGCAAAGGTTGCAAACCACTGGTCTATGTCATAAAAACAAGTTATTTTCGATAGTTACTTAACCACATTTCTTGGTAAACTGGGAATAAAAAATATACATATATTTCACATTTGAAGTCAGTTATTCTCAGTGTGGTTTGTTTTTATTGTTGCGCTCAGGGCTTTTTGAGCCAAAGGACACCAGGTACGAACTGGAACGCGATCCTTCAATGGACCCATCGTTGACTGAGATGGTGGAAAAAGCCATTAAGATTCTTCGCAAAAACTCAGAAGGATTCTACCTCTTTGTGGAAGATAAGTTGATATCATGTTTCCATTGCGTAGCCCATAAGATGTGTTGAGCATACTTATATTTGTGTGTTTTCTTTCCTGTACGTGGGAGAATAGATCACGGCCATCACGCAGGGCAGGCCAAGTACGCTTTGACGGAGGCTGTGGAATTTGACAGGGCCATTGCGCGGGCGGCTGAGCTGACGAGTGAACTCGACACCTTGTCCGTGGTCACTGCTGACCACTCCCATGTGTTTTCCTTCGGTGGCTACTCTTACAGGGGCAATCCTGTGCTAGGTATGCAAACACACAATTCATCCATGAGCTGCTGAAAACCAAACTTACTTGTATGTCCACACCTTCTGAAATGATATACTGTACATGGCTTGAAGGGATAGTTTACCAAAAAATAACAGTTCTGTCATCATTTACTCAACTTTTTGGCATTTCAAACTTGTAAGACTTTCTTTTGTGGAACACAAAAGAAGACATTTTAAAAAATGTCAGTTTATTTATTTATTAATACAATGAAACTCAATGCGCTGCAATGTTTTGTTGTTTTGAATCCCACTGACTTTCACTGAATGGGCGAAAACTGTTGAAACATTCTTCGAAATATCTTCTTTTGTGTTCTACAGAAGAAAGAAAGCCATACTGGGTTGGAACAACATGATGGAGAGTAAATGATGACAAAAATAAATAAATAAATAAAATTTAAATGAGCCATTATTTCTGTTTAAGCTCCAAAATATTTGCCCAGTAGAAATACTTTTTTTTTTCTTCTCAAAAATAACAAATTTGATGGTATTATAGGATTAAGAATGACTTATTTACCTTTTTGTCTTAAGGCGTTTCTTATTCAAAAGCTGAGGATGGCAAGAGCTTTACTAATGCACTTTACGGGAACGGTCCTGGATACCAGATTGCGAATGGAACCCGTCCTGACATGAATGCAACGAACTCAAGTAAGTTTTATGAGTTTAATTGTTATTCCCCCAGGTGCAGAAGAGCATTTTTAAGTGCATGACACAAGCTAAATGTTTTGGCAACGCAGACGCCCCATCTTGTGGTCATGCGTGTTACTGCAAGAAAATGAAACAAAACTCTTTTCTTTTACATTAAAGCAGCACTATGTAACTTTTGGCGCTCTAGCGGTTAATAAACAGAACTGCACACATCCCGCGGAAGAACATTCCAACCGGAGCTACTTCTCTAAGTTTATGTCTATGGTGATTCACGCAGGTATGTGTTACTCCGCAGCGGTGACGACCCGACCAGGCTACAATAGTCCAAATATAAGTACTTATTATAAGTGTACCGTAGTGATTCGGAATGAGACAAAAACGCTGTTTTTGGAAGATGAATTAATGATGTACTTGCTCATTATATACATTTTGCACATTTTGAACACAGAAAAAGTTACATAGTGCTGCTTTAAAGGTATAATTCACCAATAAATAAATAAATAAACAATAAAAATTCTTTCATCAAACTCTATGTCTCTCTCTTCAATGGAACACAAAGGGAGAAATTTAGTATAATCTCCAAACTGAACTCTTCCATAGTAATCCATGCAATTGAAAATGAATGGAGACTTCAGCTGTCAAGCTACAAAAGTGACAAAAAAGTTTTCAATGTTGTTATTGTTAACTAAAACTTAAAAAAAAAATCTGTTAACTTTTAACTGAAATAAAGTAAAAATTAAATATTATATGAAAAGCAGTAAGTTTAAGTACTAAAATGACTAAAACTAAAATAAAAAAAATCTTAATATTATTGACAAAAGCACATAATGACTAAAAGTTAAAAATTCAAATGGAAACAAAAATAATAGCCATTTCAAAATATTAATAAATAATATGGCACCACACTATGGAAGACAAATAATGCCATATGTCTTTGAAACAAAAAAAAAACGTTGAATAGCACTACCTGAAAAAATAATGCATTGCATTAACAGTGCTTGCATTTTAATGCCTTGTATTTCCAGGGCTTGCATTTTTAGGCCCTGAAATTTAACATAGTTGTTTATTTAAGCTGTGAATATTTCGATTCAAAATATTTCACACACATTTTCATAATTAAAAATTCAGTAATTCATATTCACCTTCCAGAATTCACTTCCAAAATATTCAATCTGTTTAAAAATACGATGTATAATATTCGACAGGCAAATTTCGGTCCATTTTATTTGACTTTTCAAATTCAGTGGTTAAAATTCGACAGAAAATTCGGCATTGCAAATCCGGGAGCGGCAGGAATAGCAGTAGAGCACCGATGCATGATCTCCAGCTGCTGTCAGTCGCTCACCAGCAGGTGGCGCAAGCAGCTGTTGATGAAGACCAAAGCAACCGGTAGCGCAAGTCATTCATTCACAAAAACTGATCTGCAGAAATGGAGCAAGCGCTAAGTAGAAGGTTTGATTATCGGGGCCAGTATAAACATGTGGAAAAGCTGATTGTGTGTATGTTTAATTCAACATCTTCTCTGTTTCCCGTAGCCTGCATGTAAGCAGCTTTCTCTACCACAAAGGAGATTATAATGCTATTTTACCCAACACTAAAGTACAGAACTAACATTACATCTGAGGAAGACATATATTGCTTTCGGTTGCTTAGTTTCCGTAACTTGGTATCATGGCTTGTGTGACGCTGCGCTGTAATACTGTGGTTCCCCTCATACAGTAACGAGTGATAAGACCTCAGATCTCAGAATACACTTTATTGATGATTATGCGAACTATATCAACAGCTAAGCAGATGTAGAATATGAACGAACGCGCAAGGTTTCACGCTATTGCCCTCAGAAATCTGTTAAAGAAAACGCATTACGCGGCGCAGTGCATTAATGCAATGACAGCTATTAAAAGACCAAACTCAGATCTTACTGATCTGTAAACAGATATTTTTCTTTATTCCCATAAAGAAAACACTTAACCTGGTTTATTGCCTCAAGACAGTGATAATAAATAAATAAATTCGGCACCTAATTAATAATATATATTACTGTATATTATGTACATTTAAGCAGATGAACCCAGAATATGAGCCCGTAAACCCACAAAGTTTCACCAAACCATTTTTTCTCCCATAGAAAGCCAAGCGCGGTAGTTTTAGGTGTGATATTCGCTGCATATTAACCTAGGTTGATTTAGGGACCGTCTGCAAATTTACCTCACAGTACAAAACGAAGTCCAATAATTTAGTCAAATTAATGTTTACAGTAAATGAATAATTTACTCAAACTGACTAAATATATATTGCCAATAACTCGCCTTAGACAATACTTTCCCTATGTACACTACACAAATATTTTTTAAATTACAATAATTATTACAATAATTCACCAAAATGGGGTTTTTCGTGTTCCACATGCTGTATGTTACTAGTATGTTACTAGTGACCAGACTGACTTACTACAGTTGAAATGTTGCCAATATCTTCCTCACTGTAAAGTTTGCCAATATCTTCCTCACTGTAAGGTTTGCCAATATCTTCTCACTGTAAAATTCACATCAAGTTTTTTTTTGTTATGTTCCAAATGTTGTAGTACATTCCTAGTGACTAGACTGACTTACTACAGTTGAAATTTTGCCAATATCTTCTCACTGTAAAGTTTGCCAATATCTTCCTCACTGTAAAGTTTGCCAATATCTTCCTCACTGTAAAGTTTGCCAATATCTTCTCACTGTAAAATTCACATAAAGTTTTTTTTTTTGTTATGTTCCAAATGTTGTAGTACATTCCTAGTGACTAGACTGACTTACTATAGGTGATATTTTGCTAATACCTCCCTTATTGTACATAAAGTACATCAATATTTTATACTATAAATTTTGGAACATGAAAAATCCCTTTTGGGGTCTTACAGATTATTATTATTATTATTATTTTAATAATTGTGAACGGTACATACAGTAAGGGAGATACTGGCAAAATTTCACATGAAGTCAGTCAGTCTTGTAACTAGCAACGTACTACAACCTGTGGAACATGAAAAAAAAACTTTTGGTGAATTACTGTAGTTTAAAAAAATATATATTTGTGTACTGTACATACCATAAGGGAGATATTGGCAAAACCTAACCTGTAGTAAATTAGTCTTGTATCTAGCAACGTACTACAACTGTTGGAACATGAAAAAAACCTTTTCCAGGGATCTTTTATATGTAAATAATTGTGTACTGTACATATATAAAGGGAGGTATTGGCAAAATGTCACCAGTAGTAAATCACTGTGAGCAATACGAGCTTTACAATTTGACAGTGTGTTATTTTAAATGTTAAAAGTCATTTTAATTAAAATACATTGGATGTTTTAACCCAGTCGGTGGAACTGTCAGACAGTCCCTTGTGTGCGATAACGCATCAGCGCTTTCTCCGGTTTAAATTTGCAGCAATAATACACCTTGAACTCCTATTTTTATGTCAAAATAAAGTGGTTGCATATTGTTAAAACTAATCGTAGTGTTGATATATTTGTATGACTGTTGACTCAATAGATCAGTGGTAAGGGAAAGAAATTATAAAGAAAATCTCATCAAAAGCACCTCATTTGCTTGCCTGTATATAGTTCGCATAATCATCAATAAAGTGTATTCTGAGATCTGAGGTCTTATCACTCGTTACTGTATGAGGGGAACCACAGTATTACAGCGCAGCGTCACACAAGCCATGATACAAAGTTACGGAAACTAAGCAACCGAAAGCAATATATGTCTTCCTCAGATGTAATGTTAGTTCTCGGTTCTAGTACATACCGGTTACATAGGTACCGGTGCCATATTGGTACCGGGTTTCGGTACCCAACCCTAGTTTTAACCCATTCGGTGAAATTGTCAGACGGTCCCATGGGTGCGATAGCGCGTCAACGCTTTCTCCGGTTTAAATTTGCAGCAACAATACACCTAGGCGGTTTTGAACTCCTTTTTTATGTTGATATAAAGTGGTTGCATATTGTTAAAACTAATCGTGGTATTGATCTATTTGTAGGACTGTCGACTCTGTAGATCAGTGGTAAGGGAAAGCAATTATAAAGAAAATGCAGCGCATTGCGTTCTTCTGACCTCATTTGCTTGCGTGTATATAGTTCGCATAATCATCAATAAAGTGTATTCTGAGATCTGAGGTCTTATCACTCGTTACTGTATGAGGGGAACCACAGTATTACAGCGCAGCGTCACACAAGCCATGATACCAAGTTACGGAAACTAAGCAACCGAAAGCAATATATGTCTTCCTCAGATGTAATGTTAGTTCTGTACATCAGCGTTGGGTAAAATAGCATTATAATCTCCTATGTGGTAGAGAAAGCTGCTTACATGTAGGCTACGGGAAACAGCGAAGATGTTGAATTAAACATACACACAATCAGCTTTTCCACATGTTTATACTGGCCCCGATAATCAAACCTTCTACTTAGCGCTTGCTCCATTTCTGCAGATCAGTTTTTGTGAATGAATGACTTGCGCTACCGGTTGCTTTGGTCTTCATCAACAGCTGCTTGCGCCACCTGCTGGTGAGCGACTGACAGCAGCTGGAGATCATGCATCGGTGCTCTACTGCTATTCCTGCAGCTCCCGGATGTGCAATGCCGAATTTTTTGTCGAATTTTAACCACTGAATTTGGAAAGTCAAATAAAATGGACCGAAATTTGCCTGTCGAATATTATACATCGTATTTTTAAACAGATTGAATATTTTGGAAGTGAATTCTGGAAGGTGAATATGAATTACTGAATTTTTAATTATGAAAATGTGTGTGAAATATTTTGAATTGAAATATTCACAGCTTAAATAAACAACTATGTTAAATTTCAGGGCCTAAAATGCAAGCCCTGGAAATACAAGGCATTAAAATGCAAGCACTGTTAATGCAATGCATTATTTTTTCAGGTAGTGCTATTCAACGTTTTTTTTTTGTTTCAAAGACATATGGCATTATTTGTCTTCCATACCACACATAAATGCAACCCATATTTTGAGTATTTTTGTACTGAAAAGTTATTTACTGAAATAACAGCATCGTAGCTCTCACTGAAGGTTTTAAAGTTCATCTGAACATGAATAAGATTTCCTGCTGAAGTCTTTTCAATTAGAATATATGGTGCTTTTTTAATTTTGAAAGTCCTTATATAGAAAATGTGTGAAGTGAACTTTCTTTAAACCTCATACTGTACAAGTTTTAATATTAATTTTATGAACTTTTTTTATTTTATGGTGAATTACTAAATAACTGTATAAAGTAATTTATTAATATGTGACTGTTTTTGTTTTTCTCCAGGCAGTGATGAATATCTTCAGCAGGCTGCTGTACCTCTAGATTCAGAAACTCATGGCTCTGAGGATGTTGCTATTTTCGCCAAAGGCCCAATGGCCCACCTCTTCCACGGAGTCCAAGAGCAAAGCTACATTCCTCATGCTATGGCTTACGCTGCCTGTATTGAGCCCTACACCGACTGCCAGCTAGAAAACTATGGCATTTGCACTAAGTTCAGCCTCGCGGTGCTGCTGCTGAGCTTGCTCTCCTCACTCACCACCCTTATGTAATGTGACTAAAGCGGGGTGAGGTGCACTTTAAACAGCTTTTCTGTATATTTAAATCACAATACATTTGCAGGTTTTTCGCATTCAGCTGCAACATTTAGACAACTGACGGGCAAGTTGCATAAGTTCTGCACTGGATCTGTGTTTGCAATTAATGTTGGTTGAGATATAATTTAGATCCTCTGTGAGGACATGAATGTTGATTAATAAAATCTGGCAAATCCTAGAAGGTGTACTTGCATTTACATTGTATTCACATTTCTTTAGTGACCCTAAAAATACTGAATAAATGGTAATGTATGTAATAAAATAACCCTCTGTGTAGATTAAATGTTTGCTTATAATATTTACCTTCACAATGCTGAGTATTATGATATATTATAAATATATTGTGGACACTGGGAACAGTGTGATTAACTGGTGACATCGTCAGGTAAAAGAAAATAAGTAATTTGAAACATATCAATGTGCTATTGTTTCAAATGAGTAAATCATGGAAATCACTAAAAGTATTGTGAAATGTGATATTTTTAAAACTGTAATTAAACTATAAACCTTTTTTTGTGTGTCCATTGTACAACATTCTGAAAGATGGCCTGCCTCGTAAGTTCATACGTGAGCCATTCAAAGAAATCCTCCAAAGAAAGATTCAAACCCCCTTTCGCCTTCATCCATCCTGTACTTCATGGCACCTTTGAAAAAAAACCTGTCAGAAAAAAACAAACAAAGAAATAAATAAGAAAATGTCTAATATTTATGAGTTTTGTAAGCTATTTTTGTACCTGAGATTCAATATCCTTCCTTCACTTCCTTCCAAAAGCTTTTTTTTTTCGCCTAGATTTTAAAAATCTGTTATCTATTAACTGAAATAAAGCTGAAATAAATTAAAATATTAATTTTATATGAAAAACAAGTTGAAGTACTAAAAGTACTAAAGCTAATACTGAAATAAAATCAAATAGAAAATATATAATTAACAAAAGCACATAAAATGACTAAACCTTCAAAATTAAAATCAAAACATAAAAATAAAAAACTATTTCTAAATATTTTAAATTATTCAAAATATTATTTTAAACTAAAGGTTAAAGTCTGTAAAACCAAAAAGCACTTTTCTTTGACCTCTAAAACTCTATTTTAAAAAATAAAAAACTTTCAAGAAAGACCTCCATGCTTTTTCTAAAAAGTTTTAATTTCAACTTATAAAATAGGATATTATAT